GAGATATCTTGCAGTAAGAAAACTACTCATCTACTTTAAGCCAATGTTTTCAAATTAAATGACAAAGGAATTCTTTCTTCACATAATATTTATGACCAACTCTTAAAAATCACTGTTCTGTGGGAAACACTTGGGAAAAATAAATCCATTGAAATTCCTCTTCCAAGTTGTGCATGTAATACTTTGACAGGTCTTGTTTTCCTGCCAACTCTACTCCTTTCTGTGGATGTGCTGTGAAATGTCAGGGCTGATGATAAAAGGTTTTTTTTTCTGACAGTTAACTGTTAAACTAAAGTTTTCTTATGGTTTTCTCACGATAGTCCAATATTCTGCTTCTCTCCATCTTGTAGCCACAGGTAAAATCCTAACCTTCTCTTGAAACTTATATTCACAGATTTTTCTCAGTGCTTATTTATAGACTATTTTTTCTGTACCAATCAATAGCACCTTATATTTTATTAACTATAATTTTAATCTTACTGCTAGGGCTAGAGTTGTAGTCCAGTGGTAGAGCACTTGCCTACCATGTGCAAGGCCCTGGGTGCTATCTCCAGCATAAAAGAATAAAAAAGGAAAAAAAAAAACCTTATTGTTATATAATTTGTCACATGCTTATGTCTCTACAACTAAATTGTAAGTTTCTTAGCATCTGAGATCATGCATTGCACTTCTGTGTATTGCTTAAAGAGTATAAATACAGCACGCTGCTCATTTATTATTCATTTATTCAACAAATATGCATTGAACATCTCCCACATCCCAGGTACTATTCTGAGTGCTAGGGTATTGCAGTCACAAAATAGGCAAGGCCATAAGTACTCTGGTGGAACTTTCACTGCATCGGGCAAGCTACATAGTGAGTGTTCAAGTAGGTACACAATATAATGATAGATAAGGATAAGTGGTAGGTAGCAATGAGGGCATGTGAAAGAATGAATGAGAGGTTACTCTAGCTAGGGAAGGCCCTCTTAAAGAAAGCATATTTAAGCTGAAATGTGAGTAACAGGAAAAAGCCAACTATGCAATAAACAGGTTGCATACAGATGGTTCTAGGCCAAAGGTAAGTGACAAAAGTCAGGAGGCTGACTAAATTTGTTAAAGTGGAGGAATATCAGAATGATCAGTATGACTATCAGGGGAATCCCTGTGAGATCAATTCAGAGTGGTGGGTGTTAATCAAACTGTGGTAAAGAGTTTTTAACTTTAAGATGATAGGAAAGCAACAGAACATTTTAGACACAAGAATGACCAAAACATATGTTTAGAATTTTAAAAGACCACTCACTTCAAGGTAGAGAATGAAATGCTGGGATCAAGGGTAGATTCAGGAAGGCCAGTTGCACGTTATTTTAGTAGGCAAGGCAAGATACGACAGGCATTTGGATAAAGATGGTGGCAGGAAAAGAAAGGAAGTGGACAGATTCTGGATATGCTTTGGCAAGAGAGACAATGGAACCGGCCAGCATGAGCAAACAGGAAAACAGAGGTATTTCCTAGATGCAAATATTTCCTAGATGGAGATATCTGGGAGAGGAATGGGCCTGGGAGAAAGAATGAAAAAGGAAATCAAGCACTTCTTAATTGTATTGACGTTGGAAGGTCTAGAAGATACCAGAGTTATGAGTCCATTTTCCTGATTCTGGAGCTCATGGGAAAGGGCAAAAGTAGATATACATACATTTAGGACAAAAACTGTACTACATATGTGAAAGCATTGAGACCTGTGAGAGAATGTATGCCAAAGACCAGTATGGCTGGAACATAGGGAGACAATGTATGCCAAAGATCTAGACATGAACAGAAAAGGAAGTAAGGGATTGGCCAACATGAATGTATCAAAAGCAAGATCAGAGGACTGAAGTAGACGGTAGTGGCCTGAAGGAAGAGGGCAGGACCAATAAGTACTCAATATAGACAAACTCTTCAAAAAGGTTTACAGGGCCAGGGATTTAGCTCAGTGCTTCCGGCACCTGCCTCGCAAGCACAAGGTCCTGAGTTTGATCCCCAGTACCAAAAATAAAAGTTTGCAGTGAAGAGAAGCAGAACAATTAGGCAGTAGTTCGGAGGCCATGGAGTCAAGAGAAGGCTTCTCTCCACCCCAAAGTGGGAGATACTGGAATTTATCTAAACACAGACAGAGGAAAATGTTGATGACACAGAAAAGAGAGGGACTAATTAAACACATAAATCTTCACTTTTGTCAAATTAAAAATGTGTTTGATTCACATTAGACTAAGTAGGAGATTGTTTTCCAACATATATCTGACAATCTGCAGGATTTAAAACTGGGTGGAAATAACAATAATTAAACATGTTATTATCAATTGGATGTAGTTTGAATGCTCCCTCCAAGGCTTTAGTATTGATATTTAATCCCCATTGTGAGGTAGCAAAAGAGTGAAACTTTATGATATTTAGATGTAGGATTTTGGGGAGTTGATTAGGATTACATCAGGTCATAAGGGTAGAGCCCCCAAGGTTGAATCCTTATGGGTTTTTAAGAAGAAGGATTCCCTTGTCTCTTATCATGTAATGTCCTGGGTCTCTTGGACACTCTCCCAGCAAGAAGGCCATTATGTGATGTTGGCCTTTGAACCTCCAGAACTGTGAGTCAAATAAACTTATTTTCCTTCTTCTTCTTCTTCTTTTTTTTGATACTGTGAATTGAACTCAAGGCCTTGCACTTGTCAGGCAGGTGCTGTACCACTGAGCTACATCCCCAGCCCAAATAAGCCTATTTTCATAATAAAGTTAACAAGCCTTGGGTATTCATTACAGAAGTGCAAAGTGGACTAATACACATGGATTTAATGCTCATTACATGCCCAGGCATTGCTTTACGTGTTTGCACATGTACATTAACTCATCTATTCCTCCAAATAACTGTAACTGCTCCTACTTTACTCTTAGTGAAACAGAGATTCAGAGAGATTAAACAATTTGTCTAGTGTCAAGGCTGCGGGAAGTGACAGAACCAGGATTCACACTCAAGTGATCACATTCTGAAGCCTTAACTACCAGGGTAAACTGGTCAGAGGTTTCAAAGCTGCCAGCCTTTCCCCAGTCCCCCTCTTCTCAGCTACCTCTTTTTTCTTAAGCATACAAGGCTATAAAAAAAGGATGAAAGAGAATTGTTTTTCAACCTTTCTATGCTTCAGTTAAGCCCATGTGATGACCAAATCAATTAGTAATTCTTTCAAACATATTCTTCTCAAAATATCTATAAACCTCTAGTATATATTAAATACATTTTGACAGTTAAATAGTATAGTTTTTTCATAAAAGTATTTCTCCCATATTCAAATTTGACACACATTTTACATTATTTTAATAACTTTATGGTATTTAGCTGCTGGGATGTTCCACAGTTTACTTAACATTTCATATATATATATATATATATATGTATACACTCATGTACTTATATAAGAAACTCATGTTCTTGGCAGAAAATTAGAAAATACAGCTAGGCAGAAAGAATTCCACTCATTCTTTCATTTAATAAATATTTACTGAGTGTCTATTTTATGTCATGCAACCATTACAAATCATGCTTTTGAATATGATATAAAAGCATGAAGAGAATATAAAAGGAAAATTGCAAGATACAAAGCCATATAGAAAGTATGAGAAAGAACTAGTCAAAAAACAAGGCTGGGGGTACAGCTGAGGGGTACAATACAGGTTCAGCATATACAAAGGCCCGAGTTCAATATTCAGCACCAAAAAAAAAGTGAAAAAAATCAGAAAACAAATAAAAGAAAGGAAAGAAAATCAGGCGCAGGTGTATGTGCACACATACAAACTGGACAGAATAGAAAGAGAGAGATTCAGAGAGACAGAGAGATAGAGACAGAGATAAGCATATCAGACGTAAGCAGTAGCTGTTATGCTGCCTGGTAAAATTAAAGATGATTTTTATTTTCTTCTGTTTGCCTTTGCTTTACAGTTTTCCTATAATGAACACATATTAGTTTAGTACTCAGAAAATAATGTTCTCAAATTAAATATTTCTACATATTGTGCTGAAAGCACATGTACTTCATGCATTACCAGACATCACATTTGTCACTAAAGTAGAATCCATTAAAGTAGTAAAGCACAGAGAGTATGTGGATGTTTTTATTGTTTCACTTACCTAGTAGTTATGCTCCAAATTATTTCACTGTCAGGAGCATTGTTCAAGGGGTGCATGTGTGTGTGTGTGTGTGTTGTGAGGCACTACTACATAATTATCCATGCTAATTAGTATACATAGATCTAGACACAAAATAAATTATGGACAATCAACATGGAGCTTCACCTTCTTGCTACTAGATCCACTCATCAGAGGGAGAAACATTAAAAGAGATCCAAGAGACATTTTCAAGGTGGGAGGGATCCTGAAGAAAATTCAGATGCTTTCCTCTGTCCCTTTATTTAGGCTACTTTTTAAGATGCCTCTTTTCTTTTCACTATGTATGTAAAAGTCCAAACATGCTAAATATATATATATAAATATATATATATATACACATATATATATATTCAAAAATATATGTAAGCAATCCTATCACCAAGTTTCAATAATTAGCAACATTATTAAAAACTTTCTTTCCAACTGCTTATCTTGTATCTAAAAGAAATAGTAACACTTATGCACAGGAAAACTATATAGAAAAATTTTCTAGCGTTAAATAAAAAAGAAATGGCTTTTTAAAACCTCAGCACTAAGCTGTAAAGAAGTCCCCAAAAATAGTTCCTCAGGCCTACTGATGCAGTTACCACCTTTTACCACCCATTTGCCCCATCTCTTCCAAGCTGTTTGAATCAGCATTATTATGCATGGAAAACCAAGAACTGTTGAACAGAAAATACTGTTGGGGAAAATACTGAGAACCCACCCAAGGCAAGTGTGGCCAGGAGTGCAGCCCCAGGTTAATTAGGCAGGAGCTTTATTTACAGAGATCAATCAGTGGAGCCAGTGGGGCACCGTCATACTGCCTCCTTATTGTACCTACCCAGACTGTTGTCACTGCTCGTGGGCCAGGAATCAATTCTGTCCCTTAGCTTCTTCTTTTTACAGGAGTTGTCTGACTTCACAGAGAGGTCTACTTCTTCCTTCCTAATTTCTTGGACTAGCTGCATACGACACCTTGTAAAATCCTGAAAGGAAATCTTCCCGTTTTCATCTGCACCCAACTGGCTCATGATCTCAGCCACAGACTCTTCCATATTCAGTTGGCGACAGACCATCAGCAAGTCATTTCTGCAGAAGAGGTGCAGGGAGAAAACATGTTAGGAGCGACATTTGATCTAGAGAAAGTGGCTAATGACAAAAAAGTTTATTTCTGAAATATATTTACACATAGAAGAACTACTTTCAGCTGTCTCATTGCTATCAGAAAAGCGGCAAGTGTACAAAACATCTATTTTATCTGGGTTATTCCAGACAAAAACTCCATTATTATTATTTGAAAAGGAAAGGCACCTTTTAATCCTTTGTTCTCTTTTTCTTCCTGTTTCTAGGACTTCCTGTCCCTTTCCTTTGAAACTGAAGAGCTTAAATTTTTTCTTTACACCTGTGGAGGATAGCACTGTAATCTCTCTGTAAGATAAAGTTTCAGAACACAGAAAGGACATTGTTTCCATTCTTGGCAGAATTCAAAATCTAGTCAAGGTGTAAAAAAACACAAAGATTTTAATAAGCTTGATTTTCAGCCTTCTGAACCATAGCTAAATATGTACTTCTTTAGTATGTTATTTAATCTTGATTTTCATGATTCTTGTTCACCTACCTGTTTTTTCCTAATTTTCTTTCACTGCTTTCTACCTTCCCATTAGCAATCAGTACAGCCCTAAGACTCAGAGTAATGATCAAAATCTCAAATGTCTTCCAGGACTAGATGCCAGGTAAATGTGTGGAGTGTGTGGATCTAAGAGGGTAGAAAAGCATACCTAGCCTACAGAGTCCCAAATTAGAAAAAAGAAAATTAAAAAGGAATAACAGAACAACATTATGCAGACCAAAAACATTTATCTGGAGGACACTGGTTTGATCCCTGACATATAAATTTTATTCTTTTCTCTCTATCTAATCACCTATGGGAAACAGTTTGCTCATACTGCTTCAGCTGTAAGTCTTAGTGAAATTCAAAGGATTCTAGAATTTAAGAGTTGAAAGAGACATCTTCTTGCAAGCCCAAGGTCCCGAGTTCTATCCCCAGTACCAAAAAAACAAAAAACAACAACAAAAAAAGAGTTGAAAGAGACATCAGAAATTAGCTCTTGATCACAAAGATAATTAATGCTTCCATCTAACACACTGCAAAAGTTCACTCATTTTAAGAAAATGCCCAATTTGATAACTGTTGATACCTCAAACCTAGCCATGAAAAGGCCACTTGTCACTCAGTCATCACTCACAAATCTCTTCTCCTGGTCAATGCCACCATGACCTCCCTAAATTCTTCAGGCTCATGGAATCATGGACATTTTTTTTTTTTTTTGGTACCGGGGATCAAACTTGGGACCTTGCGCTTGCAAGGGAGGCCGCAGCACCACTGAGCTAAATCCCCGGCCCATGGACATTTTTCATATCTTCTCATTCCCTCATGTGTTAAAAGCATGGTCGCCAGTCTGTTACACTAGAGATAGTAGAGGCAAATGGGAAGAAGCTGGGCCCCTGGGGTGAGCCCTTGAAGGAGATATTAGGAGCCCTCTTTCAGTGTCTCTCTTTAACCCCAGTTGCCCTGTGGTCAGCAGCTCTGTTCCACTGGTCACCCTCTATCATGTTCCACCTCACCACCACCCCAAATGCAATAGAGCCGAGTGATGGTGGACAGCAACTTCTGAAACTGTGAGCCAAAATAAACCTCTCCTCTTTTACATGGATTTTCTTTGGTATTTTATTATACCAATGGAAGGCCAGCTGACATAAATAAAGGGGATCTCCTTTTCTGCCTTACAATATTTTTATACGTATTCTTTTTATATTTTTCCATAAGTATATGAGTCACTAAAACATTCTTAATTTATGCCATGCCTATGACACTAACCTTTTTAGCTGGTCACCCTGCTCACGTGCCATCCTACTTTCATATCTCATAAAGAAATTTATACATAGCCACATCTTTTATCTTGTGTGTATGTGTATGTCATTATGTGTGTGCACATTTTATATACATATATATATGCTATGTGTATATAATACATACATACATGTATTTGTAAGGCACATAGATGAGTAGATGAATCAATAAATATACTTGGGAGTAGGTATGGTAGATTACTATTAGTCTAAATTTTTCATTTGTCTATAGTAGTCTAATAAATCTATATCCTTACTTGGGCCTTAAAGTTAAGGACATTCATGGTAGGCATGTGCTTCTCCATCCCTTAACTTCACTCTTTTTTTTTTCTTTTGTACCAGAGATCAAACTCAGGTCCTTGCACTTGCAAGACAGGTAGCATAACCACTGAGCTAAATCCCCGGCCCCCTAACTTCACTCTTGACATACAACTTGTCTGTCATACTAGTGGACTTATATTAGTGCATTTGATTTGCCCCATTCTGCTTCTGCCATCTACACTGGAAGCACATACCATTCTATTCCCATTAACCTAGGTCCCAAAATATACCAGCCCAGCCAACCTGCAGACTCACAGCCTAAGAACCACTCCAGCTGACCCAAAATGTGTGCTTAAGAATAAATTCTTATTGTTTATACTAATTAAAGCTAATTTTTCAGCTGATATTTTGTGATTATTCACCAGCAATAGCTAATTGATATGTTGAAATAATATATTTTTTAAAGAAATGTTTTCATAAAGTTATCCTTTTTGCCCTTCCCTTTATACAATCTGCTTGATATTCAGCTGGACTCATCCAAGATTTAGAAATGGTTAAGACTGATAAAACAGGAATGCAAACAGAAAGAAAGGGTCCAGATTTTACTTTGGATATGAAAGTAGAAACACATTATATTTTCTAAATAAGAAATTGTTTCTTAGATTTTTATATAGTAGTTTTTTAAAAATAAAACTTAGTGAGAAATAAGGTTTTCTAAATTCCAGAAGTTCATATAATATGATATTAATGAGAATATTCTCTAAATGACAGAAATATGGTGTTTTACATTGTATTTTTGACTACATTGTATTTCATAATTTTCTGCAATGTACTACAATACTTTCACAAATTGATATGTCATTTTACATTTTAAAGATGGGGCTAATAATAGTACCTATCTTTCAGGGTTATTCTGAAAATAAATGAGACAATGTGTGTAAAGCACTTAACATAATTCCTGGCATATATTAAGTATTCAATAAATAGTAGCCATTACTATGATTATTTTATAATTATTGATCATAGATCTTTCACAATATCCTAGTTTAATAATTAGAGCTTTTGTAATGAAGCATGAACCGCTCAGGGGAAAGAATGCCTGATTACCTACCTTACTAAGTGGAGCAATCTGTCCACAAAAGCCCTTTCCTGTGGCCCATTTACTACTTGCCAGGCCTGAGAAGCCTCATTCTATTCAGAAAGAAGATTTGTGTTTAAAAATGCCAACTCAAAGTAGAATGTGTAGCACAACATTTTTATGTAAAAAGTAGGATCACTGAGAGACTGGTTTGAAAGACAAAAACAAAATATATTGCTATCCACTAATGTCAGATTAAAATCTTTAAAATAGAACCGCCAGTTTTTGGAAATGAAATTAAACCTAAATTCTTTCAGCATAGAGATACAAAACTGAAAATAACAACAATGAAGCCTGCAGGGCAAGTACTATCTTCATTTTGCAGATTAAGTTATGAAGGCTAAGTTATAAGAAGTTATAATAATAAGAAGCATTTATTCTCAGAGAATTCAGCACATGGATGTTTAGTAAATATTGAATGACCAGTGAACCCCATGAAAAAGAAAAAAAGAAACCTAAGGGCTCTTTAGTCTTCAATGCAGCATGACAATTTCTCTGTCGCAGGCAAGGCAAATTTCTCATAGGAAAAGCTGGGATCACCCAAAACCAAGTAGTAGAGTGGGGAACTATTTCAGCAGCAGTAGCATGATTACATGAGGCACCTACTCTCACATAAATGAAAACATTCATGTTACTTACTGACAAGGTCATATTGTGAGAAATGCATTATTAGGTGGTTGCATCATTGCGTTAACATCAGTGTACTTACACAAACCAAGACAACTACAGTGTCACTAAGTGATATAATCTCAGGTACCAGCCTCATACATGTGGTCCACTGTTGACTGAAATGTCATTATGCAGTGCATGACTATATTCCAGAAACTACAGATCCAATGTAGAAAATGTAAATCAACAAAAAGAAGAACATACAAATTTCATATAATTTCCCTACCTAGCCATGACCACAGTGAACATTTTGGTGACTGTCATATAAAATTCTAGTGAGCACTTTTTCCTCTACATCTTCATTACTACAAGTGCTGTAGGATGTCATATTTATTCAGTTTCACACACATTTATCTTATGTTTAGAGGCTATCATCATGGCACAAGAAAGGAATGGCCTCGGGTTTATGGCAGGAGAACTGGTCAAGTCAAGCAATACAGTATTTAATTCTGTAGAGATACCAATCACCAGGCAGTGGAATTGAAGTATGACTGAAGATTGATGCATCCCTATCAAAACTGCATGATTTCACAATGCAGTTATTACTTTCTGTATATAAAAGTCTTTTTTCTCTTTACTATTTTTCTTCCTTTAACATAAAAAAAAAAACAAATAGGAAATGAAAATTCAATGAAGCTATTTATCACTCAAGGAAATTCATAGCCTAACATCAGGGAAGTATAATGGAGATGGGATTTGCTCTCTTTGGCTCAAGGGAAGAGAAAAACATGATTCTTCCCCACACTGACAGTAGATCCCAAACCAGGTGGAATAAGTCAATCATTATTTTGAGTAATAAATAGGTTACATGGTTCTGTTCAAAATTTTGATCTACTGTAGACCCTGGGCAGACAGGACAGAAGTAGGTGCTCATGAAAGAACAACAAGAAATATCTAAAAGCTCATTTTGCCCCTGTCTAACCAGAAACTCTAATTTCAGTTCTACAAGTACTCTGTGAAAAAATTATAAATAGGTTGTGAAAAACAGTTTTTTAAGCTACAGTTGATAATTTCTGTACACAAAGTATGAGGCAAATGCATTTGCCTTTCATCACTGCTTCTTAGTAAAATAAAGTGATACACAAATCATAAAAAGGAAGAAACAAACCTG